AAAAAAACTAAAGATATAAACAATGTATCAAGGGCAAAAATGGATATTTTATCTAAGGATATTTTGTTAACAAAAATAAAAGATTTTATGTGTGAAGATGCAGTGTGTTCCTTTATGAAAATACTTACAAAACTGCCTCTGTATGAGATTATTACATGACTCCAACATATGTGACTATGCTAAACATGTATGGAGGTCTGTTTGCACATATGAACGTACAATCTGTTTCTCGTTGAGGTTTCCGCTGCTATAGGTGGTGGCGAGGGTGGAGGAACAGGCCTCACTGTACCACGGCACATTGCCATACTGTGTGGTGCTGCTGATGGAGAGCGTGTAGATACTGTTGGTGTATCCGTCACAGTTGCAGCTGTCCCGCTCTCGCCCTCCGTTACCCGATGCCCACACGAAGATAGAGCCCAGGCCACCTCGACCCTAGAACAGATGCATAAAACCTGATCAATCACTCCTTCCAAAGTACTTTTCACTACCATTCAAAGGATTGGGGTTTGGACATTTTTAATGTTTTTGAAAGAAGTCTTTCTTTCACCAACAAATTAATATAAAAAAAAACAATTGGCACCAAACATTTGAATGAGTGTCAACAAAGATAGACACCAGTCTAAAAGTATTTATATTCTCATCCAACAGTCTGTTTACATAACTGGCAAGCGCTAATTAAAAATCACCGGTTCCAATCTGATTGGCCGGCCTTTTGAGACTTGACGCAAAGGTTTATCCCTTCTGGAAACAAACTGTTGTTTAAGTTGCTGGGCTGATACAAACGTTTTGAGGTATAACTAATCACGGGATTTGTGAGGTCTGTGGCATCAAAACTTAAAAAAATAAAATACAAGTGGGTGATTCTTGGCCAGAATAAGCTGCTGATAGTCTTTATGCAAATCAAACGCCTGGCTATGTGAGACAAATGTATTTATGAATCAAACATCTGTGTAGTGTCCAGTAATGTCTGTGTGCACAGGCCTCATCTCTATTACAATAGCCCACAAAAATCCAATTGAACGAGCCAATTATGGCTGTCATGATTAATTTAAAACCAATACTGTGACCTCTGAAATCTGCTGTATTTAATGCTTTAGTAATACTGTCTGGACAGCTGACAAAGCGCCACTTTTCTTTTTTTTTCATATATTAGTCTCCTCTCTCCCTGCAGTCAAGCAAATCGGCAGAATTTGATTAAAGTTTCTGTTCTATCTTCTGCTGTTCATATGGGTAATATTCACAGCTGACTGACTCAGGTTTATTGTGGCCATAAACGGTTTGTTTGTTTGTCTGAGACGCCACAATCTGGTTCAAAAATATTTAGAGGCACAATTCTAGGAAAGATAAAATTGGGGATAAAAAACTAAAGGGATAAAGTATGAGAGTGGCACCGCTGAGGCAGATGTTTATGCGATGCATAATTTGAGTAAATTACTAGAGGGAGAAATCCGTTTTAAATCCCACCAAAATTAACAGCAGTCAAACTCATTCTGCGCGGCTGTATCAAAGTGCCATTATTCACACAAACTAGACAAAAGATTAAATCTTTTGTAACACTCCGACAAAAGCATGTCTGTGATTACCAAGGACACGTTCGGGATGAAACAGAAGCGGCACTCGCGGCGGGCAGTCGTCCTAAAAAGGTCAGATTCTTTGCCTGTCAAACATTATGCTCTTTTCTCGCTGTGTCAAATCTCAGAATTTCTACGTGTGAGGCGAAAGCAGGTGGTTTTAATTCCACTAAAGATATTTTACTAAATTATTCTGAAGATAACGCAAGCTTCCTAAATGGCTGTTAGAATGTTTTAACATGTCATGGGGGAGAAGAGGGGCGAATTTTGTTGAATTTTCAACAAATTTTCAATGTTGCTGTGACACTCTGTCTGAGGAGAAGAAAAGTTGTGAGAATATAGTTTAAAATACTTGATAGCACAAGGTTTATAAAAAGAAAGTGGAATAAAAAGAATATTGACATGAACAAACAAGATGTGTGTGGACAAGACTAGACTTTTACAATTGTTTTTTCACTTGTTTTATCATTCCCGCAGGCAAAAACCGCCTGATTGCTTAGAAACGTAACAGCACTCAGTAATAGCCTCTCCTCAGTAAGCCACACGATTTGAGGCATCACTCATGTCTGTAGCACAAATGGTGCGTGATGACTTACCCGCATAGGTTTAGCGGTTTGTTTATATCCATAACCATACATACACTACTGCTCAAACATTTGGGGTCTGCAGGATCTTTTTTTAAAGAAATTAATACTTTTATACAGCAAAGACATTGAATGGATCTGAACAGTTCACCGTAGCGCCATTTTGGAGAATAACCACTGAACGCAAGCAACGTACGCTATTCTGTGTCAGCCGCGACACAAGGATACGTTTTCTACGTGTATTTACGCTTTGATTTGAAAGAAAACAGCGCATCCGTGCAGCGCGGCTGACACAGAATAGCGTACGTTGCTTGAGTTCAGTGGTTATTCTCCAAAATGGCGCTACGGTGATGTGGAGAGAAACAGAGGAGACGTATTGTTGAATAAAGTCGTTATTTTTGTTTTCTTCGTGTACAAAAAGTATTCTCGTCGCTTCATAACATTACGGTTGAACCACTGATGGCAGATGGACTATTCTGACGATGTCTTTCATACTTTTCTGGACCTGGACAGTGTAATTTACTTGGCAGTCAATTGGACAGTCACAAGCCTCCCGATTTTCATCAAAAATATCTTAAATTGAGTTCCGAAGACGAATGAAGCTTTTAGGGGTTTGGAACGACATGGGGGTAAGTGATTAATGACAAAATTTTCATTTTGGGGTGGAGAATCCCTTTAACATGATTGGTTTACAGATCATTTCTACAAATATTTGTAATAGATTTTGATAGTGCAGATGTGACAGATGTTAGACAGTTCAAAGTGTTGTGACCTATGAATCGTTGTGTGCTTGCATGAGTCATTTGGGATTCATTTTAATGCATCACTGTGGGAAACAGTAAAATGGAAGAGTATTTTTGAACCTTTAGTTTCGTGTTGCTCATAGCAGGTTTTCACATAATTTTCATTTTGGGGTGGAGTATCCCTTTAAGTTGTATTTACAACACTGTTCCAGAACAGTTCAATGCAAATATTCAGATGTGTGCAGCACATTTTATGGAGGACTGATCCTTGATCCTGGGAGAGTAGACTACAATGAACATTGTAATAATATTTCACAATAATACTATTTTTACTATATTTTCCATAAAAAATAAAGGCAGCATTGGTGAGATTAAGAGACTTTCAAAAACATAAAAAAAATCCTACCAATCCCAAACTTTTTAACAGTAGTATATAAGCAAAATTAATAGCAACATTTGCCTTAAAAAACACCACAAAAGGTAGAAAAATGGTAAAAGGCACTGTTAAAAGAAAGGGTTAAAGGATCAAGACAGCCTCATTTTTGAGTCACGGATGAAAACAAATTGATTTTCATATTCATAGTGCAATGTGTATGCTGAAACTCTATCAAGGTATAGACTCTCAAGGGATAAGGTTATGTGTGCCACACAAGAAAGAATTAACATATCAAAAACGAAAACAGAAAACAGAAAACAAATGCTCATCTTCTTCCAAGAGCACAGTAATCTCTCTAAATATAGTATTCTCTGTAATCCTGTGTTTGTCAAAGCGCACATCCTTCTCAGTTCTCTTTCTGTAAATGCAGGCAATGACATCTTCTACAGCTCACCCTGTCCAGCCTGGTTCCTCCAGCAGAGGTGATGATGGGAGTCGATGGCAGCTGTGACACATTTAGCTGATCTAAAATCTGCTCGCATGACCTGACGTGAGCATTCGTGCTGACACTGACTTGAGGAGACAGTAACATGAGTGATTTGTAGGCGTGTCTTTTTGATTTATGCAAATGAGCATGAATGCTACGAGTCTCCTATGAGATACTCAAAATTACTTGTTTCTGCACATTTGCATGGATATAAAAAATAAATGGATTTCAGAAATTGTAAGCATTTGTGATGTATTATGCACGTCTGCATTTGATATAAGAACACATTTTAATAAGAAGGAAAATCTTAATGTTACTGAAAATACATCTCATTTGTAATCAGATTTTCAGAAGCTATGCTCAGTTACACAACCCACCAATAATGCTAGAATGTCTACTAGCAACCAACAGTACTGCGACCTGGAGACCTCCAGCGGTAAAATCTCTTCCAGTCTATACTGACCTCAGTAACCCCCTGAAGGAAAGCTTCTTTGGCTAGTTTGGCAGGGCCATCCACAGTCTTCCCATCATCCTCTGGGCCCCAGCTGGCGCTGTAAATGTGGATGTGCTGGGAGTTCAAGCTCAGAGACTGAGCCTCCACAACATCTGTTACCTCTCCGTCCAACATCCGCACACCTGCATGCAGAACAGTGGCACATAAAAAGAGCGTTAATGAAGATACCAGAGACAGGAAAAATGGGTTTTGTGAAAATGTACTGTCTGTAACTGTGATGGACATTTGGAAGAGAGAGTTTCCAGCACAGATTTTTCTATTGGCACTGAAGGTGAAAATGCTGCATGAAAACAAAAGCACAGCCATCCAGAACACCCATCTGATTTTAAATATAAAACTATATGGAGAAGGATTTAGACCTATGAGTGTTTTTATTATGCTTAAAGAGAAATTATGTGCAAATTCATCAACCAACACCAGTGCTGACAAACATGTAACCAATCCGGTCAAATTTTCATATCATTAACATATCACAGGAACATGGTTTGTGTAACTTGCTGATGACTTGTAGTCCGAGCTGGTGTGATTGAGTGGAGGCGGAGACTAATTTGCATATTCGTTGGTTCTGTGCATACTAAATGAAGGGCGTAGTTACAAACATTTTAAGTTTAAATTACTTTCCCACCAAAAATGAAATGTGTCATTTTGATTATCAAAGATTTAATGGATAAAATTAGTGACTGTACAGAGACTTGATGGCAAGGACACCCAAATATGATGAACCACTGGCAGACCCCCTTTCTAAAATAAAATAAAATTAAATTAAATAATAATAAATAGATAAATAAATAAATACATAAAATAAATAAATAATTAAAAAATGGCATACATACATACAAAAAATATAAAAATGGGATGAGACATATAAACATAGATATATAAACTAATTAAATATAAATATATAAATAATTAAAAATAATAACTAAAGTGTGATATTATATCAACTAAATAAAATATTTTTATAATTAATTATAGTTTTTATCTGGTCAAATATGTTCAAATTAAATCTAGAAAATATTTCCTTTTGATTAAGTTAACAAAGTTTTTTTTTTTTTTTTTTTTTTCTTCTTTGGTCTGAGATTAATTGCTTGTCGCAGTGTTATGTCGTGTCCGGCTAGAACATGGGGTAATATTGGGAGAAAGAATCTAATTAATAAGAATGATTCTGTGGCTGTTTGTTTGATTAATATTAATCCTAGCAACAGGATTCAGACACTTCACGCACCCCCACACACACATGACCCAGAGGCCAATTAGATCAGCAACACACACACACACACGGACAGATTTATCCTCTTATTACAAAGATACACACACAGAAACACAGAAATCACATGCAGACTCAGGCAATGCCCTCTGCCTTAATCACCCTCATCTAGATGGAGAAATATTTTCCTACAAAGACTATTAAAATAAGAGATGTGGAATTTGTGTATGCCTGCAGCGATGTCTGGCCCTGAACGTGCTCAATGTGACCAGAATAGCCAAGATATTTATAAGATATTCACCTTAATGGATGTGTTTTATAATTGAAAGATAAAGCGTTTGAGATTAGTCCAAAGCAGCATGACGACATCAGCCATTAAATGCACAAAGGGCAGGAAATTAGAGAATGCTTGGATAGTTTTAATGCGCGACCTATTTGATTGATCCTATTACAATATGCTAATTTATAACCGCCTATCAATCGGATTCTGCACTCACCTCCGATTTTGGCATTGTAGGCCACACCCACTCCACAGACGCCATTGTTTGCTGCTGCTGCCACCTCCCCGGCACAACGTGTCCCGTGTCTAGAGAGACAAAGAGAGAGATTGCACTAGTGAACAGTGTGGCGTTGTCCAATTTACATCCAGTTCACATTCAGTCCAACTCACTTCAAATTCAGTCCACGTTTTTACAGACAAATTCTCGGGGTGCTGTCATCACAACGGAGCTCGCGACGCACCCAAATACAGATGCATTATCTTTATCCTTTAATTAAATTCTAATTAGTCCTTGCAGGCGACAAGGATAAATAAATAAATAGCTTATTATAGTTGTCACTGATGGTTCCTACAGTACTGCACAAATCTCTGTGGCATGGTGGAGATGAACTTCACTGTCTAAAGAAATCGCAGCTGGCTCTGGGTTTTGTATGTGCACTGCTAGAGCTATTCTCTCCATTCATCTGTGTCCTATTGGAGCTCATTGTTTCCCTGAGACAAAGCGGAGAACAAAACGATAGGGACCCAAGAAAAGGCTCGGAGAGCCCATGAGATTGCAGATGTTTTGAGGCGGCGGCCTCGCTTCACCAGAGCCTTCATTACATCTGCCGTTTTACACAAAAACATACACAAAAAGATTATTAGGCACACATGAACATGACATACAACCCAACAGGAAAAACGACACTCATGAATATGCTTCATGCTCTTGGTCTCTAAGCACTTGTGCTCAGGACACAACAAAAACTGAATCTAGCACACTGAGAGGAACGATAATAGCTAATCCACACCCCTGCAGTATCATGACAGCATTGCAACTGTTATTTTGTAGTTGCAATTAATTCACCAGCCATGATCCTTTGTCTTCGTAAGCAAATGAGAAATATTTAAGAAATGTAAACAATTTAATATTGAGTAAAGTACATTTTTGACACAACATTGCCAGTTATTTGCTATTTTTGCTCCATCAACAAAAAATAGTTAAAAAAGGGCATGGTAGAATCAATTGTTGAGCATCTACAAGCAACACACAGTATTGGTGTGAATTGGAATGAATCGGTTGAGTGAATGATTCAAAGTTAGCCACTGATTAATTTAGGAATTAACCAATTGACTGTGTTAGTCATGTGTCAGTGTAACATGCAGAAAGAGTCACTAAAACATCCCCAGCACTAACGCACTGTTAAATTAAAAAGATACATACATATATATATATATATATATGTACGTTTATTTAGAAGTAAAAATAAAATAATTA